GTAAAAGTTTATCCAAAAATTTCCTTTACAAAATAATCTTTTGACAAAGATGAGTTAGTGGAAAGAATGAATATCCTGAAGTGCGTTATAATATTGGTCCCAATAAAGTTTATTTTGAAAACGTACTGTATTCTGTCAAGGGATGTCATTGTTTATTTCCTTAGATTACAAGTTTAATGAATATTATGATTTTTCAGACCCTTTTGAAACAGTTCAAAAGTGATGACGAGGCTTATAAATTTGCTTATCTTTACCCTATCATAAATGTTGCTAATTTTCTCAACTTGCTACTAGAAATTCATATGTCTTTAAGATGACATTTCCTGAGAAATTGCAATCGCAAGTTCTAGAAGACCCAAGGCTCTGATGTCAGCTGTGACACCGTATAGGCAGAGACAATTTAAGGAAGTCACCATTCCAGTCTACTAAAGGACAAGGCGATTACTCTACCCAAGGTGATGGGACACTCTCATTTAACTGGTATGATTATGAATATCAATTCCCTTTTCTATAATGAATCCCTAAGGACCAATCTGGGATTAAATTAGATAATCTACTTCAGAAAAAAAAAAGAAGCAATGATAAACATTTGCAAGCTCTTATATTTACATCTTTCTATTTACATACAAAACTGCTAAAATGTTACAGCCCTACTTTCCTATTTTCAATGGAATACTAAAGCCTAATCATTATGCCATAATATAAGGCCTATGAGTCTTTAAGATACCCTGACTCAGACAAGAACCAAAAGGTCAGCTTTCAAACCCACTTTGCAAGAGTCTTAGCAGAAACACCTGGTATTCTGCTTCTGAAAGGTCCAAAACCGCAAAGCCAAGTTCACTGCAATCACATCAGTTCTGATTTGTAGTGACTATATGACAGAGCAGAATTGCCCCTGCAGATTTCTGAGGCTGTAAATCTTTATGAGAGCAGATAGCTTCATCTTTCGTTCATGGAGGGAATGGTGGATTTGAACTGTTGACCTTGTGGTAAGCAACACAATGTGTAACCTACTATGCCACCAGTGCTCCTCTGGAAAGGTCACAACCATGAAAACCTTGAAACCTTCTGGCGCACAGTCCACCTCAGAACACATGGTCATCACGAATTGAAAGGACAGAACCCATGGTCATCACGAATTGAAAGGTCAGAACACATGGTCATCACGATTGAAAGGTCAGAACACATGGTCATCACGAATTGAAAGGACAGAAC